ATATTGGATTCCTTACTAGGCAAACCCGTGAGTGAGCTGCTGAATAAATTTGCTCGTGATCTGAAGGATGCGTGGGGCTTGGAAAATGGTGCCGACCCTGGCGCTAGGGAGTTCTCTCTGGGACCTGTACTGGACAAGAAAAATCGAGCTGATTTACACAGCGCTGTGAGGCAGAAATTCCCCTTTCTGGTCACTGTTACGAGAGACAGTGAAATGATTGTAAAAGGAAATGCGGATTACAGAGAGCTTTGTCAGCTAGTGACTGAAAAGGAAACAAGCGATTTCTTTAAATTTTTAGATGCAAAGCTAGAAAATTCTACGTTTTCTTTTGAGCCTGATGGGAACAAAGAGCACAGAAAAGTAATTCACCACTTTATCAATAGAAAATTTGGAAAACTTTTAGAAACAAAGTCTTTTACTGTGACAGATGTCAATGATCAGCCAAATATGTCGATAATGGTACGATTTCGAGAAAAAAGTTGGTCCAGGAAAAGGTCGGCTGGTGATTTCCAGGAAAAACAAGATCTTTATACAGGTAAATATTACATTTCTGGTGAAAGTGTCAGGTATTATGGTGTTCTTTAGTAAGACTGAAACTCGGAATCATTTTTATATATGATATCTAGGCCTCGTTGACCCATTGTTAATGCCGAAATAAATCATCTTTAATGCAGTGTCGTTACATCACTGGAGAATGAGATGGATGAATCAAGTTACAGCAGTGATTTTACAGAAACTGATCAGTGATAACGGTTACAGTTCTTTTGGTTGTAGCACTAATGCTGTGTTATTCCACGCGTGCTAGCTTTCCCTTCAAAGTAACTGGGGGATTTTGGAAGATGCATCTAGATGTTAGATGAGTTAGTAAGGCCAAATTTGATTTATGATCTCAGTCCTTAAAGCAGTTCGTTTCTGATATAGAGAACGTTTCTAGCAATAAGTCAATACGTGTTCGTTGAATTGTGTTGCATTTTATCAGGTACGATTTTTAAAGGCAGCAGGGGTTTCTGATTGTTCTAAGAGTTTTGTGTACTGTGTCTTTCAATACTGAAAAAGTTCCATTTCCTTCAGTTTTGTGGGGAGGGAGGACTGTTTCTTTGCAGTTTCCGTGCTACTATAGTTTGAAGGGAGGAACCTGCCCATCTGTTATGGCAGAACTCCTGAATGATTTAGAAGTGCAAATTCCTAATAATTCTGATGTGATTGTTTCAGCTTTCACTCTTCAGAAAGAAAATCTAGAAACGCTAGAAGCAATCGGCTTCTTGGCTGCTGAACTTGGTGTTCTTCCTTCAGACTTCAGTTACACTGGCATCAAAGATAAGAAGGCTATTACTTACCAACCTATGGTTGTGAAGAAGGTGACTCCTGAGAGGTACTTACAACTGGGTGCATTCAGTTTAGCACGTATTTTTATATGTTAAGAAGTATCAACATTGTGCAATCTTCTGAAATGTTCTTATTGATCTGTCTTCCCTTCTCCTGTATTAGAGCACAGGTATATGTTAAGAAGTATCAACATGGTGCAATCTTCTGAAATGTTCTTATTGATGTGTCTTCCCTTCTCCTGTATTAGAGCACAGTGGAATTGGCTTTAATATTTTGTGGCTTTAGGGAATTAACAGCTTAGTGCTGAAGTCCTCCAGTGTTGGAATTTACACAAAAGTCTTGCCTTTCTCTCTATTGTTCATAATACAAATATACTGTATCGTCTGGGACAGTATCCTTCCAATTCGTGCTCACAGGATCCACTTTACAATTTCTTAAATATCTTCCACTAGCTGGAACCAAGAAGTCTATACTATGTGATGCAACAGATTTCCACGTACTATCAAGGTATTGTCTTGTTGTCCACAGACAGCAACTTAAAAGCTTTATACAGCTACAAAACTAAAGTAAATCATTACAAATATACTTTGGATGGATGCTGTCTTTGAGTGTTAAGTATCAACTTCTATTGCATTGTCCAGTTTAGAAACCTGAGGCTAAGTAAAGAAAGTATCACCAAACCTGAGGGCAGAAAATACATTCTGAATAACGTGTCAATAATACAAGATGTGCCTTTCCATTCCTCATTTTTGTTACTCTCTGTAGCCGATTCAGTGGGTAAAAAAAATAAATGTGAAGTTCTGCCATAGTAACAGCAAAAAATTGCGGGAGTCAAACCATAACACATTTCTTCTTCAGCTTTAACTTTCTAGTGGGTTTTGGCCTTAGCAACAAAGTACACTTTACAAATAAAGGAAAGCAGAATTTATGTTTCTAGGATTTATTGCTAACAGAAATATATATCAGTAGTAAAATTCCACTACGATCTGGGCTGTAAGGCCAGTTGTTCAAGAGATAATTAGCAAAACTTTGCATTAATGTTTAAATGATTAAGCAATATAGATAAATGCTTCCAAGCCACTAGCATAACAGGGAAAATAAATAAATTTTATAAAGAAATAATTTATAAAGGTATTAAAATATTGCTTAGTATGTAAGCTCTTAGGCGGAAAGTTTCCTTTGATTTGAATGGCTATTACTTACACATAAGAACAAAGAGATTGAGTGGATACTTTAAAGGGCAAATGCTTGAACTGTCAGCTGTGTTTCCAATTACAAGCATGTGCAAGCATACCCAGAGAATCAGTGCGCTGAGTTTGTTTTTGTTAAGGCCGACCAAGAAAGAGCAGTTGTGTTTTGGAGTCTGCTAGAGCACATTACTTTTTCTTTTTCTTTTCCTTTTTTTTTTGTTTTTTAATGAAAAGCAGATTTTTAGGACTGAAGAGTAAATTCCTTGTTTTTCAATAAAAAATACAAAATTCAGTGCAGTTGCCTTGAGAAAGTTCAGTGAATTTCTTCATTCCAGTATCTGTTGAGCTACAGAACATAAGTGCCAATGAAGCAAACATTTTAAAAGTATTTCTGGACTATAACTAAATTTTAAGACTTCTGTCTGTGCATTTGATTTGGTTTTCTCATAATAACCTGTTTTAAATCCCTTTTTATTTTTTTAAGTGTTTTTAATTCTAGTGCAAAAGTGAAGAAGACATTTGTTAGAAGTTAGATAGCTTTAGTAGAGGATGGTTCATAATTTCTCCCAATTATTTATGCAGGTTGAAAGAAATTGGAAGCACAATGGAAAAAAAGGGCATGAGAATACACAACATACATTCAGCATGCAAGCACCTTGGACTTGGTCAGCTGAAGGGCAATCATTTTGATATAGTTGTGAGAGATCTCAAACACCACAGTCATGACTCTTCTGCAGATTTGAAAGAGAGAATATCTGAAGCAATGGAAAGTGTTGAGGTAAAAGAGCCTCATGGTTGTCAATAATGAGCAGAGTTTTAATTCTGTGCTGTTAAAAAAAAAAAAAAGCTTTTAAAGAAAATGTTTGGAATAGCACAGTAATGGTAGTATTTCCCAGTTTTGATGCTTTTTGCTATTTTATGTCTTTCCTGCATTACTTAAGGAATCGGGAGTAAAGCTGCTTTCCAAGGAGGGATTGTAAGTGAATTCATTCGGTGTTGCAGCCTGCAGGCCCAGAGTGGTGCAGCAAGACAGATGGGAATTTGGTAGCAAATGAGTATGGGTATGTGAGCTATTGCTGCACAGATCTAAGGCCAACCGAAATGATGCGTTTCACTGTGGCAGTTGACAGGGTGAAAGAATATAGTTAACGCATGTCAACTGATTGCCTTTTTTGGTTATGTGAGGAACATGCATGGTTGGCTTGGGTGAAAAACCTTCATGGCATAAATACATGGGGAATGTCCACAGCAGAGAAAGAAGATCCCCTGAAATTCAGTGGATTTTGACTGCTGTTATGCTTAGTCCCTGAAGAAAACCCCATCATCAGTCATTCTTAAACCTCTGAGAAAAGTGAAAGCAAATCATGGAAATGAAAAACTTCAGGTGTTTTGTACAGCAGTAATTTTCTTGCCCTGTCTTTCTAAGTAATAACCATAATACAGATTACTTTAAGAAGATTAATCCAGGAGTAAAGACTTGAATGACAGTGTGCAAAAGCAAAATACATTACATGTATTTTGGAAATTGTTTTTATTATTGAAAAAAACATTCGGCTGGTACTTTAATGCTTTTCTCTCTCTCTCTGCTCCATCTGACTTTTTTTTTGTTGTGCTGTTTGGAAAATGAACACAAATTCCTGTGATTGTGTGTCTTGCTTTATTAGATTTAGTTTACTGGTCAGATGATAAATGACAGAAACAGCATGCGTGTTAATCCAAAATACAGATTTTTTCATCTTTCATGAAAATAAAATCGTATAAGGGACCTATGAATGTCCAAAGCAAGGTTATATAATTTGAACTGAATAACTATTTCCAAAACAAATACCGTATGTTTTTTGCTTGTCTACTCCATGCGTACTTTTAATTTTCTAGAAAAGCATGTTCTCGTTGGGTCACATGGCTGTGATTTTACTGCCCACGTGTGACCTAGAACTCATCAAGAGATTTAAAATCTCAATTAGCAGAAGTGCTCACTCTTGTTCTTTACTATTGTAATAATAATACAAATGCTGTCATGTCCAAGAGTGGTTACTGTTCATTACCTGTGCTCTGCCACATTTGCTTGAGTAGAGATTTCATAATTTGGTGCGTATAAAAAGCTCTATCACTGACTTGACCTGTAGTTGTATTTGTAATAATTAACTATATAGAAATAATTTTGTTTCTTTTACTTATTTTTTTTATGAAAGTGAAGACAGTGATAGAACTTGGTTGTCTTTTTAGATGTTTCTAATTTAGGTGCTAGCATATTGTAATGAATCATGACTTACGATTTTGTTACATATTACTTCTGATTAAAAAAACAGTTTGTATGCATTTTGGATGTAAATGTAGATGTATGTGTTTTGTACGCTTAGTCTTACTAATTGTACCTGGTACTTTCATGCTTTTTAACATATTTATTCTTTATCATTCTAGACAAAAGGTTTTGTAAATTACTATGGACCTCAGCGATTTGGACAAGGACAAAATGTTCAGACAGATCAAATAGGATTGGCTTTACTGAATGAAAAAATGGTATTTTCATTTTGTAATTTAAGTAGTTATTGTCAAGTTAATTTCACATTACTGTTGTAACGTCTAGCGCTGGAGTTGACCTTCCCAGTGAACAATTGCATTTGTGAGATAAACCCATATGTGTGTGCTGGAAGTAATTGCCAGATCAGTTTTGACAACAACATAAGCATGAAGATCTTCATATGGAAACAAAAAATCTTTTTTAAACAGCAGGTACAGCTCTAAATAGTTCAGGAAATGATTTTTCTGTCTATGACTGGTATGTGATTGTGGTGGTCATCATGCTGCTTGGCACTAAAGCGTCTCAGCATTCCATACCAGGTTTGAGCACTAAAATGAAGCAATCTTTACACAATGTTTATTCATGGTCCCGATTGCCTCCTAACTTGTAGCCTCTTTATCCTGCGGGGGGTCTATATACTTCTTAAAACTGGCACAAAATACTACATAGGATCATATGAAAGGATTTGCTTTTTCGATACCACAGTAATTTATCTGCTATGTAGAAGAGATTGCTGCTTTCCATTATTCCTTGGCTACTTTCCCAAATTTTTAGTTTTGAGCGATTGCTCCCATGTAAGCTAAGGAGAGCTTATTGCTTAAGTAATAATTCATAAGATAGGAGTCATATACTTTCAATGTATATGGTGTAGTACTTGGCACAGGTCTAAAACAGAATCAGACACTACAAAGGCAAATGAATACTTGAGTATCCTTTTCTTCTAATCTTGTTTTGATTCTGAGAAAAGTCAGGAAAAGTTATCCTCCAAATACAAGAAGAATCAAGATTTGAGGGCAGCCCATAATAGTTACTGTTGATGTATCTGACATTTTGAATTCTGGTATGCTAGCAGTTGGTACCAGGTCCCTGAAGAGTAATGATTTAAATTTCTAGTCTTAACTCAGTTACTTTTTAATTTAAAACCTGTAGGAACTACTATTTATATTAAAAATGTGCCAGTATGTGCTTGCACAGTCCAGTACAGAGAAGGACAGGAACCAGATGTCACAGGTTGGTATAAGTGCTAGCAAATTGTGTGGCTCCACTGGTACTGGAAGTAGCAGAGGTTAGTGTAGTGTTTTCCCTGTCAGAGTGTCATCTAACCTAATACAGTTCAGTACAAGAAAAAAAAAAGATTGTTATCCCTCTGTGTGAGACTGTGGAAAGTATGCCGTCTAAATTTCGCATGAAACATGCAGGAGGGAAAGAAGGAACCTTCCTGTTCAGGGTAGCATGATGGCATTACACAGTGGAGGAGTTCTAACCGGCTGTTCAAGAAGAGTGACCGATTTCTCATGGAGCTTTGAAAGCTGTCTTGGGTCTTCTGTGTGACTGAAACCTTTCTTAAATCTGAGAAGGAACACCACCACATGGGTTTGCTGTTCATGGCATCTTCTGTGAAAGGGAGAATTTGACTTTGACCTTAGAGAACTGCTAGAATTTTGAGAGCTTGCAGAATATGGTAACACAGAATTGGATGCGCGATTGTCTGTTCAGTTGTGACGCTGTCGTGTCACAGCCAAACCAGGACAAATTGACAAATAGTTTTATATTTAAATGCAAAAAAAAAAAAAAAAAGTATTAATGTTGTTCTTTAAAGGTGAAAGCTGTGAAGTTATTCTTCACACCTGAAGATACTGATGACCCTGTAAACAACGCAAAAAGATACTTTCTTCAAACTGGTATGTCCAGTTAAATTGTCTATTTATTTATTCAGGGTCAGTATTGTGAGGGAATAAGGTGTTGCCGCACAAAGAGATACTTTTTATTTTGCTGCTGCTTTATGCCACTTACAACTTACTCCACAGAACTCAGTAGTGTTGCACAGTTAAAAATTAGATGAGGGTGAGGCCCTAAATGTGCAAAATAGTGGAAAACTAATGTACTTCAGGTGCAAGACAGTATAGAATCAAACACTGTATAGCATAATGCTGGAAAAGACTTAAGGTAATTTTAGCAAAGCAGTTTTAGCCTCCTTCCATCTGTCTGCTTTTAAAATAGAAACTTCTCTTTCCTAGTAAAGGAAGTATACAGGAATGAGGCACCCAACTCATACTCAGCACTTAACACATGTGGGCATCTAATTTTCTGAGATTTCTGTAACAATCTTGGCTCTTGTTATTTGCACCTTTGGGCTTTGTTTTGACATCTCTTTTAATTATGTATCTCTTCCATGCTTTCCTGTGATCTACCTTCTTTCTGTCTTGAACTAAAATCAACAAAATATGTCAAAGGCAGAAGTGTGCTGAGTAAAATGCTCTGTCATATTTATTGTTTTTATCATTCAACTTTCTCTCCAAAGCTAAAAATTTGGAGCTGCTCTTGACTTCAAACGTATTTTTTCTTTTCAAATATCCCACATCTATTAGCCTGCTTATCACTGTAGATTGACAGAACAGCTATGATATATAGTTTCAAGAGACGCAGATATGTTTCATTTCACAAAAAAGATAAGATGAATCATTCTGTGCAGTACATTGCTGTATGATGCATGGAAAGACGTTGATGTGGACACTGAAAACAGCTGCTTGCCTTTTCCTGAAAGCAAAAAGTAAAAGGTAAAAGGCTACACAAAAGGCTTTGTCAGGTAATCGCCTGTAATGAGAAACTACGTAAACCGTAAAATTTCAAATATACAACATTTGTATAATGTGGTACAAATCTAATTAAATGTATTTTCATCTTGGTTGAGGCTCAGACTTCCCAGTGGCCAATGCAATTTGTACCTTTAAAATAAAGACATGTTTTTTACCCCCTGTGAAATCACATGTTCTCAAATGACGTCAAGTAGAGGTTTAATGTTCTTTTATAGCTTGGTTTTTACTTTCAGTTACCTGATCTAAAAAAACCTTTGGAGTGATGAGGTAAGTTTAAAAAAAAGCAATAATGCAAACTAGACTGAATAACTGAATGACAGTTAGTTTAGTTTATACTGTGTGAAATAGAATGGAATTCATAGGACTGCATTGGTAGGCATATAGGATGAAATTTGTCTAACATGACACATTGAAGGAAAGGGAATAATAACCTAAAAGTCAGCATGAAGAGATTAGACTGACACCATTTTTCCCTACCTGATTATTTCATTTTCTTAAGTGCATTTTTTCCTGACAGGTAACATTTCAAAAATCAAGGATTACTCATATGGTTATTTTTGTTTATATCAGAAGATGCAAAGGGCGCACTCGTGATGCTGCCAGAATTTAAAGTGAGAGAGAAGATGTTGCTACGAGCTTTAAATCGCTATGGTGTAAATCATGAAGGTTGTACCAAAGGATGGCTCAATATTCCTCATTCCATGCGCATATTCTATGTCCATGCTTATTGCAGTAAAATTTGGAATGAAGCAGCATCATACAGGCTGAAGATTTATGGTTCAAAAGTTGTCGAGGGTGATCTTGTCTTCTCAGAAGAAAATGATGAAAGAGTTTCCCTGAATGACAAGGTGAGTCTTCACAAAATAGTTCTTGTAAAAAAAAAACAAAACAACAAAACCACCTTAGTGCGCTTGTATACATACTCAGACATATTCTATTGCTTTTATTTTGGTTCATTCATTAAAATATTTAATATTGGTGACAAAGGTGAAAAGAGTGATGTAGCTTTTTTTGATTTACCATAAATAGGCATATAAGCTAGATGTATATTAGCAGCCGTTAGCTGTCTGGGGAAGACCTCCCAAGTGGACTCTAGGTGTGCCTAAGGTATCAGTCAGTGAAGGTCTTGAGTCTTGCTCTCCAGATCCATAGAGCGGGCCTTTCCGTTATATGTATTGATGAATGTAAGCCTGTGGTGAAAGGTGGCCTCAGTCTGAACTGGTCATCTCATTGCAGCTACACAATCCAAGCATGTTTAGCGCACTTTCGCTTACTTTCTTAAAATAAAGTGTATGTTTTATTTTTTAAAAAGGGTGTTTTTTTCTTAACTTCTGAAGTTGCAGCCACACAATCCAAGCATGTTTAGCGCACTTCCGCTTACTTTCTTAAAATAAAGCGTATGTTTTATTTTTAAAAAAGGGTGTTTTTTTCTTAACTTCTGAAATATCTTGTCAGGTTCATGTAGTCACTGCTCCAGAAGAGTCAGCTAACAAATACTCTATAAACCAGGTAAGTCTGTATGAAAAATTCCGGGTTGTTGATCTCTTTATTTGATTAAAATGTTTTGTTTTAAAAATAGTGTGATTAAGTTAACTGGTGCAGTCTTCTTCCTTGACAGAATGCACATTAAGGAAAACACATGTGAACTAATCTCCACTTTCATAACAAACAGGAGGAAAGAATATTTACTTTGTAATGGAAATAAGTAGTGTCATTTGTAGTATGGCAATATTTATCTTGAAGCTGAATGTAAATACTTGGAAAATTTTTTCAGTCTACTGGGAAAAACAATTGAGCAGCTCACGTTCTAATTTTTGAAGGTTCAGAGTGCGTAGTTGTGAAGTCTTACGTAGGCAACTTAATGTCTTTATTGCTGTATCTTTCCCAACAAGCAAGGAAATTCATGTTAGTATATTTCTAGTTTGTTTTAGGAATCCTGATACATTGATTATTTTTTTCTGCTTTAATTTCATCCAAGATACCTGCCTTACATCCAGTTACATCGAAGCTGCTGTTTTACTATTTCAGGCCCCAAAACACAAGATTTAGACAAATTTTAAATTGTAACCACATTTATTTAAAAGGGAATTGGTGGGCTTTATTTCAAATATGTTTGTTGTTTTGTTTTTCTTTTTGAAGGTGGTTCTTCCAATGGTGGGACATAGTATCAAGTATCCCAGTAATAAAGTTGGGCAATGGTACCACGAAAGGCTTTCTGAGGATGAGATGCAGATGTGCAAATTCAGAGTGTCTCCATTACAGCTGAATATACCTGGATGCTACAGACCCCTTTTGAAAAATGTTCAGAATCTGTCTTACTTTTTGGAAGGTAGTGAAAAAGGAATCGAAATTGAAGACAACCATCTGAATGAATCAAAAGTCTCTCTTCATATATCATTTGACCTTGATCCTTCATGTTATGCAACAGTCTGTCTGAGAGAAATAATGAAATGTGACTTTTAAGATTCAAGTTAATGAAAGATTGCAAGAATATTATACAATGGTGATATTTTATGTATAATGCCAAGAAAATAAGGGAGAATAACAGGTTCAAGACAGGAACATGAAAAATGTATAGATTGGGATTCATACTGATTAGGAAAAAAACCCCACCAAAATCCTCTGGAATGTTCCAAAGACATTCCAAACCTTAAATGCAAACCCTCGGATGCATTGGAGTAAAACTATGTGTTATGCCAGGCAGGTCTAACAGAACTTAAAGAAACCATGGGCTGCAAGCATGAATTTCGTATTTGCATAGACATCTGACTTGCAAAGTTAAGTCCTGGAAAAATGTTTGCTGCCAACAGATGTATCTTTTATGTCATAATCATTTTTTAAAAACCAGTTTATACTAAATGCTGTTCAAGGATTAATGTTACAAGTTTGCAGGCTACAGGTATCTAACTGAAAAGTTGCTGTACTGAGGTTCACCAAATATATTGTGGTTTTGTTGTCTTCAGGGACCAAATGTTAAAAGTCCTGAGTAAACAGTGACAGGTCATCTGATACTTTATCAGACATTCGATGAATCCCACAACTTAACTTAATGCTAAGGATTCCAGGATTAAGTAGTGCATAGCTGTTAGTGCCTATCCAAGTAAGCTCATCAAGACGAGGTGAGTAATTAATACAACTGCAAAATCATTTATAATAAAATCAAAACCCTGTTTTATTGTTTACAGGATGCAGGCTCTATTCCTGTTACTATGAAGCCTTATGGTAGCAAAAAAAAAGTTAATGGAACATCCCTGGAAAAAAACTTTTATATTTTTTTCTTAATTAAAAAAAAAGCAGTCAACTGTGATAAAATGAGTGGATTTGTGGAAAAAGGGAGAGCACAAAATGTCATTTACCTTGCCTTTAGCAAGATGTTTGACACTGTCCCACAGTGTTTGTGAAACCAAGTTAGGGCATTATGGTCTGGATGGGTGGACAACCAGATGGATAAAAAAGTGATTGGATGATGAGGCTGGGAGAGTAGTGGATAATGGGTCATACCCAACCTGGAGTGAGTACCACTGCGGTCTCTCCTGGGGCCCAGCCTCTTTAATGTCTTTGTCAGTGACCTGGAGAAGGGGATGGAGTTCATCCTCATCGAATCTGCAGATGACACCAAATTAAGGGATCAAATGGATATTCTGGAGGACCAGGCTGCCGTTCAGGGCAACCTAGACGTGCTGGAGGAACGGGCCAACAGGAGCCTTGTGACATTTGGGAAGGACAAACACAAAGTGCTACCCCTGGGAAGGAAGCACCCCTGCAGCAGCCCAGGCTGGGGAGCAGCTCTGTGGGCATGGACCTGGGGGCCTGGCGGGCATCTGCCTTGGCAGCAAGGATGACCAGCAGCTTCCTGGGATGTGCTGGCAGGGACACAGCCAGTAGATCAAGGGAAGGAATTATGTCTCACTTTTCAACACTTGTTGGACCACATTTAACTTCTACGTCCAGTTTTGATCCCCAGCACAAGACAGACATAAAAAACTGGAGCAAGTCCAGCAAAAGGCCTCCAAGCTATTTAGGGACTGGAGCACTTGCCATTTGATGAGAGGCTGAAGGACCTGGGCTTCTTCGTCCTGGGCTTCTTCAACCTGGAGAAGAGATGGCTTGGTGGGGAACCAAGAGCAGCTCCCCAGTACCTATGGGGAGGTTAGCAAGAAGATGGAGCCGGGTTCTTCACAGTGGTGCACTATGTGCACTATGTGGGAGAACAAGAGACAGTGAGCATAAATTGAAATGAGAGATTCAGATTGGTTAAAAGGAAATACTTCTACCCCATGAGGACAGGCAGGCAGTGGAAGAGGCTGCCCGGAGGCTGTGCAGTCTCCATCTGCGGAGGTTTCCAAGACCCAGTGGGATAAAGCTCTGAGCAACCTGGTCTGAGCTGAGGCAACCCTGGTTTGTGGAGGCAGTTGGAGTAGAGACCAGAGCCCTCTCCCAGGCAGGGTCACCCTGTCATCCTGAGCAGGCTATTGCAGGTGTTTATTCAATCTGTAGGTGGCAGTATGACTTAAAATGGCAAAGTCTGCTCCTTTGTACTGGGCGAGAATTAATAACATAAATGGAATTTTGTTTATGGCATCAGTCTTTCAGTTGTTGCTAACAGCTGAGTAAGATAAATCTCAGGAGGCTGATAAATAGAGTTATAGGAATAGGAAAAAAATATAGAAATATAGTTCAGCTGATTTCGATGCTTGTATAAAACTGTGTAGCAAAGAAGGATCCAGATAATTCACTGCCTTAAATAAGAGGATTACTCTCTAAGTCTGTGTAAGTAATTCAAAATTTGACCCTTAGCTTTTATATGGGAAAACAGACTGTCACGCAAACAATAGCTGCAGAGCCACTGTAGGCGATTTACAATGCTTGCTGTATTACAGTGCTTACTCTACACCTCAAGTTTACGGCATACGGCCAAACTGATTGAAAAATCCATTTCCCTGCCACGACCCATCTGAGACAGCTTTGCTCCTGTCTTTGCTTTTCAGCATCACCTCTGCTGTCTTCCACCTGCCCTTAAAAATACCCCTCTTCTGGAAAATTATTTTTAACTCAAGTTGTTTTGGTACAGCACAGCTCAAAAAGAGTTGTCCTGTCACCGCTGACATGGTAGAGTGCTCCAGTGCAGACAGGAAGCTGCATGCAGTTACAGTGACCAGAAGAAATTAGCACTGAAGTTCTATTTAAAGAGACTATTGTGGTCATCTTCCATGTGTCTCAAAACAGCCTTGAAAACCGTCTCATCACATAGAAGATTTGAATACAGAAAGTATTAAAAGTTGAGCCTTGACTTGGAAAAACACAAAAGGTCAGATTAAAAGGTTTTTGGCTGAAAGGCATGCTATTTAAAAAAAAGATCAGAAGATGGTGTTAAAAGAGTTCCCCTATAATCATTTTAGGCTCATTTGTCACTACTTCTATTGAGCACTAAAAGGACTAATCTTCTTAAGCAAATCATTCTTTCAGCAACTTTAAGGTGAAAGAGCTAATTATGTGTGTCCATTGGGTTAAATTCCTATAGTAGAAATGTTCTACTAGGGAAAAGTCAGGTTAGCTATTAGAGTGTTTATATGGTAAACATCTTTCTTGTTTCAGTGGGCATTTATTTGTCATTCATTCTCTTAATCCTAGCAGCTATTTTGCAGGATTGTGTACATGAACAGTTGAATTCAGAGAGTTTTGTATGAGTGTAACGCTCAGCTCCCCAAGTATAATCTATATAAGCGAAACATCTGTGCCCCTGCATTTAGAAGATTATCATTGTGCAGTGATCTGAGTTTAAGGAAAAGATTGCTGTGTTAGTCATCTCTCATTTTACTAAGCACTTCTATTGCTACCATCCTTTTCTGATAAGTCTTAAAGCACTTTGCTAATACTAATGAAGACAGGTCTCTGATTCTGTTTCTAACAAAAGGGGTTCTGAGTTCGATGGCCAGTTGATTTTTTTCAGCACAGATGATAGATAATTGGGCATTTGAATGGGAAAAATGCAAATGTTCTTAATCTGTGAAATCCTGTTACTTTTAATTCATTATAAATTTGACAACTAGTATTATCCTCGATGAGAATGTCCAGATCTTCAGATCTTTCAGAATGAGATGGCTTAAAATTACATTCCTATCGTAAATGCAGTTCAGAAGCCAGGTAGATGTGTGATTATTGGCCCAGCTCACTCATTAAAACTCCATTAACTCCTCTCTTAGTGCCAAGGCCTGTCAGCTGGTGATTTGACCTCTTAGACCCAGCTGATGAGCACAAACCTCCTTTCCTTTCTCTGGCAGAACCTCTGCCCATAATAAAAGCTCACAGGAACAAGCAGAGAAAGTATTAACACTTCCCTTTCTTTCAGCCCGCAATCATGCCTTGCAGCCTGCTGGTTCAGATCTCGATTCCTTTTAGAGCAAATGAGACCAGAAAGTGAGCTCTAGCTGCGCGCCAAGCACACACCGCATCCAAAGGGAGGAACAGGGATCCAAACGAGAGGTTGGTCATTTGGACAGCTTCAAACCCTATACATGGGTGCGTTCTGTTGTGAGGCCTAGACAAGAAACATTTAGCCCAAAGTAAAACCACTGAACTGTGTGTTGTGTAAGTACAGGGACTTCAGTGCTCCAGTATGTTCATTTGTTTCTGTCACAGCAAAAAGCAGACATTGTCTGCAAATGTTGTGTTTGCGAGGAAGGCGGAATCAATGAAGTCAGATGTTTGCACCATCTGAAGTTACTTCATTCTGCTTAGCAGAAGGCAGAATCTTATCTTACAGCAGTTGAAGTGCGTTTTCAGCTTACACACAAATGCTCCTTCCTACCTGCTTAGAACAGTAGGGGTTTTAATTAGCTTTAGAAATGACTGATTTAAAAAATTGATTCTCTCTGTCTTCCAGAATGTTCCTGCACTTAAAAACCCAGGACACCCTTTCCCACCCCCAGCAAAAGGCCCTGGGACTTTTTTACCTACACATCTCTATTGATACCTCTACTGAAATCATTCTTATCTGTGCTGAGCTCGTAAGCTGGATTTCAGAACTCTGGATAAAAAGAACTGTAATAATACATGGCCAAACCATTCACTTCTGAAAGCACAACAGGAATAATTTAGTGATTTTGCATTGATATTATATAGAAACAAATAGATAGCATTAAACTGGATTTGGATTTAGCACTCTAAAACTGCAATGGTTTGGATCAAGGCTCAGTCTTGTACCTTATCCTGTCTGCAACAGTTCCTGTAAGTGGACGTGTAGGAACGAGTAAAGCAAGGGAAGCATATATGATATTTATCCTCCAACTATTTTCAGTTCAGGTGATTTCCTGAGCCTGAGTGGTTTTGCTATTTAATAACTCTCAATGGATTTCTTTCCCAGGTATTTCTCATCTTCCCTTGAATATGTTCAACCTCTTTCCAGAGTTCCATGTTTGCTACCTGTTGTATGAAGATCCACCTTTTGGTTTGTTTAAACTGTCTCCTCCTGACTTCATTTGGTGATCCTTGGCCCTTATATTTAAATACAAGGGATAGTAAAGACTTCA